CAACAAAAAAAAAAAAAAAAAAACAGAAAACCAAAACCAGACCAGGACCATAACAAGCCTTTATTATGGGGAGGATCTGCTGTGCTGTCTCTGAACAAAGGAGAGAAAGCAACATGGCAGAACAGGGAGCTTCTTTATAGGACTGGGGTAGAACTAACCTGAGCTGGGGTAGAGTTGAGTGAGGTAGTATTAAGAGATTGGAGGAGCCTGTGACATCACGAGGAGGGGCTTGTGACATCAATAGCTGCTAGGAGGTAGCAAGTGTCTGGTTACTCTTTTGGCGGGAGAATAGGCATGATGACAAGAAGCCTGTGCTTTGTTGGGGGAAGCCATATTTTAACATGGGGGCTACTATTCCATGTGGCAGCCATCTTAAGGCAAAGGAAATCTAACACTAACCACTTCTCAGATCAAGAGAAGGAAGTCATGATTTTGTGCCAAGTCAATCTTGATTTTTAACAACATACATTCATTTTCTCTGTTTTTGAACTTTATATAAATGGAATTTTATAACATGAACTCATGTCCATTAACATCATGCTTTGAAATTAGTCCGTTTTGGATGTGTTCAGTCTCATCACCGTGTGTTATATCATTGTGTGACTATACACTCCACTTTTCATGGGCATTTGGGTGTTTCCCAGTCTAGCGGTTGTTATGGTTTGAATTGTGTCCCCCAGTAAGATATGTTGGAGTTCTAACCCAAGTTATTTCAAAAGGGATGTAGGCAAGTTAAGATGAAGTCATCAGAGTAGACCTTTAATTCACATGCCTGATGGCTTTAGAAGAAGGCAATTTGGACACAGACACACAAAGGGGATACCTTGTAATATCAGAGCCAGGGACTGGAAGGATGCAGGTGTAACCCAAAGATCTTTATCTTCCCCCAGGAGCAAGGAAAAGAAACGTTTTGACTCAACCTCTCAGCTGGAACACAAAACTCTGCTGAAATCTTGAATTTTGACTTCTCATTTCCAGAACCATAAAAGATGAAATTCTCTTCTTTTAAACCACCGTGTTGTGCTTTATGACAAGTGCTGCTGTGAAAATTATTCATCATGACTTTTGCTGTCCCTATGTGCACATTCTGTAACCTTAATTCTAGGATTTGGCAGGCTCAAATGAGCAGTTTTCTCATAGGCTCTCTCATGTGTTAGCAGTTAGATGGCAGTTGGGGCTTGAGTCACTTGAAGACTTCTTCACGCAAACGTCTCCCGACTGAGCTAGACAGCTAGAAAAATGGAGGATGGTTGGGCCTCTCACTCTCCCTCCTTGTGATTTGGGCTTCCTCATAGCACAGAGGCCACAGTGTCATTGTACTCCTTACATGGTGGCTGACTTTCCCCAGCATGAGCATTCTAAGAAAAAGTCATTGGAAATTGCCAGCTTTCATAAATTGGTCAGAATACTACGTGTATTATGTGCGGTCAAAAGGGCAGCTTAGATTTAAATGGATGAAAGAAAGGTCTGCCTCTTTTTTCTTTCCATATGTGGTGCTGGGGATTGAACCTAGGACCTTTGCATTGAGCTACAACCCAAACCCTTGTTTAATTTTGAGAAAGGGTCTCATTAAATCACCTCGTTTCTCCAGCTATACTTGAACTTGTGACTTTCCCACCTCAGCCTCCCAGAGTGCTGAGATTACAGTCATACACCACCATGCCAGCCATAGTGCCCACCTCTTGAAGGGAGGAGAGGCACATGCCTTTAGGGAGGGGGAGAATTAATGGTGATACCCTTGAGATAAACTGTTACACTCACTAAGGGCACAAAGGTTGCCTGTGACCATAATACCCTTTGGCTAAGAAAGAACCAAAATGACTATAAAAAGAATGAGAATAGCTTACAAAATCAAAGGGAAAACTTTTAGAAGACAGGAGCCAGAAAAATTCTAGTTGTATACCAAGTACTGATACACAAACTTTTTGAGGCACAATCACATGATGATCCAACTTCATCTGTTTCTGGTACTTGTACCTCTCTGTTCAAGACACTAATTCCTGATAAAATTTTTTACAGCATAAATTGGACCATGTGATCCAGGTGTGGTGGTGCATGCCTATAATCCCAGCACTCTGGGAGGCTGAGGGAAGAGGATTGCAAGTGTGAGCCCAACCTGGGCAAATGAGCAAGACTGCCTCAATATCATTAAAAAGGGATGGGATGTAGCTCAGTGCAAAGGCCTTAGGTTTGATCTCCATTATCACAGTCAATCAATTAGTTAAATCATGTGTTCACATCTTGTCCAAGAGAGGACAAGATTCTTGAATGTATAAGCCCACTAAAACTGGTATTTGAGAAACTGTATCTAAGAGGCTGCAAGGCAGCAAGCACTTATTTTCCAGGATGCTTTTTGAGTAACTTTACTTTAAATAAAAGGCCCAGTCAGGATTTCCCCCCGCTACATTTTTTTCCTGTGTCACATTGTCTATTTCTGTGAATTTAATCCTATTTTAGCCAACTTCAAACATTTTTTGGATTTGCATGTGTGTGTGTGTGTGT